TCCATCAAGGCAGACTCTTTGAGAGCGCCCAGTCAGGAAACTGGTTTTTTTTCGAACCAAGGCAGGATGAACGTCGAATTGGCGCACTACTTCGATTAAGTTTTTTTTGTCCACTCTGTCAAAACCTTTACTTAGATCATAGAAGCAAAGTCTCACTTTTTTTTTCGGATMATCAGTTGATGAGAGGAGGAAGTTCATCAAGTCCACAAGGATTTTTTTTAATTCATCGTAAAAGAGCAATACATCAAGTCGGGAATCTGTTTATATCTTTTTTTTCCTTGGGACATGACAAATAGCAACAAAATCTCTTCCTCCCCACCCATGTTTTTTTTCTAATCGAACAATCATAAGAGAGATTAAAAACTGGCCAATCAGTGAGATTTTTTTTATTTACGAAATCTGTAATCTTATTGGTGCGGCCAGATCAATCATCCAATTTTTTTTTACCAGAGGTTTGATTTTCGCTCGGCCTTACGGCCTCGATTACGGCGCTTTTTTTTAACGAAAACAATAGCGAAGAGAGAAATTATCAACCTCTGGGACCAGGGTTTTTTTTTGTTTTAATGCTATTGTAAAATTTGATCATGTGCGGTCTGTTAGCTCATTTTTTTTAGCGTGGTGCTAATAACGCTAAGGTCATGGGTTCGAGCCCCATACGGATTTTTTTTTTTTGTTCTTAGTGATCAGCTGTCTTGAGGATTTCAAATAGAATTCTTTTTTTTTTTTTAATGCTATTGCAAAGTTTGATCATGTGCGGTCTGTTAGCTCAGTCTTTTTTTTGTGAGGATTTCAAATAGGATTCTTCGTGTTGCTGTGACGGTTCGAAAGTTTTTTTTCAAAATACTTGTGAATAACAACATGAAAATACAGCAATACGTTTTACTTTTTTTTTTATTATCTTTAAAGGGCTGCTACTCTATGTAACTACTAAAGTTACTAATTTTTTTTAATTCCTACAAATTCCTACACTCCCCGTAGTAGTCGGGAGTACTTGAATTTTTTTTATGGTAACTGTCGTCCAATCAGAGGGAACGGTGTCCATCAAGGTCGATTTTTTTTTGAGCGGATTCATACATGACAATTTGGCACGGTTGGATTTGAAGTCCGTTTTTTTTTTGCCCAATTTTGGATAGAAGGATCCTAGAGACATGCTGCTGAGGGGATTTTTTTTTCAAAACATGGTTTTAAGATATTTTATTCGGCCTTCAAAGACGAGTGGTTTTTTTTTTCTGTAACCAGCCTTGTAGTCTTTTATGACTGATGGCGATATTTTTTTTTTTTTTTGCTCTAAATCCCTTCAAAATCACACACAGCAATGTTAAATAACATCAGTTTTTTTTGAGATTAAGGTAAAATGTATTTTATTAAATTTTTTTTTTGAATCAAATTTTTTTTTTTGACTGTGATCTAAGCAACGCTTCTCTTTTTAAATGATTTAGATGTCTTTTTTTTGTGAGGTAATCCCTAATCGTCACACATATACTGATTTATTTTTGTGTTTTTTTTTTCGGTTCTACTTGATCAACTGTATTGAGGATTTCAAGTAGAATATTACGTGTTGTTT